CCCTTTAGCAGTCACAAGACTGAAACTTCAGTTTAAGGCAGCACTCATGTGTCATCACAAAGGGGCAAACAAAACTGATAATTAGCCTACAATCCTGGCACAACCTACAGCTTTATCTGTTATCTCTCTCTTTCGGTAGTGTAGTAGTAGTGTAAAGTTGTAGTGTAAAACACTGGGAAATATCTATATCTGTGCATTGTCCATTAATATAAACAGCTTATCAGATGTATAGGCAGTATGAAGTCATATAAAGTACAATTTTATATATTATATTTATTTCTTACAAAAAAGATTACATTAGCAAATAAAACACAAGGTAAGGCAAAAGGGGACGCCTCTCAGACTATTTTAGAAGCTGTTATTTATCCATTTATTTTCACCATACTCAAGGTCTTAATCTCTGTTTTATCCTCAAAGCATCCATGTGGGATAAAGGAATGGCATCTTAACTCTTTCATGAACTCCAGTTGCTATTTAATGTATAGTAAATCAGACTCATTCAAAGTAGCATCGCTGCACAAATAATCATTATGAACGCATGCAGGGACAAAAGTAACATGAGTGGATAAAAAGTAACACAACAATATTTGCTAGATTTATCTTGTTTATTTTAAATATATGTCATTATGACCTATGTTTGTGCACTGCAAACATATGTTGTCCTTTTTTCTTGCAAAAAATATTAAACAACAATTTCATTTTTCAATTTCAGCTCCATTCAATGTCTCAAAAGCAACCCAACAATGAAAAATGTTACCAGTTTTCTAATATTTTTTTATTATTATTGGTAATATGCATTAATTTGATAAAACATATGACATCAAAACACTGCAAACCCTTATGTGGAAGTGAAAAATAAGATATATCTTATTTATAGTATACAACATAAATAACTGTTACTTTCGTCCCCACAGAAACTCTTGCCATTTAAACCTGATTTACTTTTAAACTGAAAAACTCAGAGATTGCAAACTCAAGGATGTGTTATTGTACTAAATAACCTGCAGATTGAACATGACAGTGATGCATGAAAACAGAAACACAACTTGCAATAAGAAAAAAAAGAACCACTAAAACAATTTAGTGCTAACCAAATTTGGCTAACCGTGGGACAGGCTCCCAAAAACAGTTGATATTTGGCAGCTCCATCAAGCTGCATGCTGAATGTGCTGTTATAGCCTGGAGAGCAAATGTTGTCAGGGCTTCCAGAAAATTGCTTGTTACTTTCGTCGTCACTCGCACCCAATGAATACAATTGTATTTGTGTATATGGCTTTGTATATATGTGGCCTGTTTAAAAAAAGACATTCCTTCTATCTAAACCTGTTAGATAGTTTTGCTTGTTGAGTACATTTTTGGCCTATATTACAGTGTTTTATTATTTTATAATCCTGTTTTTCAGCTGTTACTACTCGCTTTAAAGGGGAAAAAATTGCACATAAATGACAAAATAAGCTTGAAGAGAACATGAACAGATACACCTCATGCTTTACTAAACTTTGCGTCACAGTATAGCGGGTCATTTCTGAAGTGGATCATGTAGTGGATCAGAATATTTCGCGGAAAAAGTCACCGTATAACACTGAATAAGACTGTTATCACAACGTCAAACGTTAAGCTTATTTATAACAATGTGCAGCATGGATTGATCATAACAGCAAACTAATTTATCTTTTGATTCTAATTCCAGTCCACAGTTTTACACATGTACTAAAATGTTTTGTGATAATCCTGATACTTTACCTCAAACTCCAGGCATCTTGAGCACGATGTACAGGAGAGACAGATGTTGAATCCTACACGATTCAAATGTTTGATCATCTCCAAGCTCATTTCGACCGAAAATCACCCTCAGACTGTCCGGATCTGACAACAATATAAAGCGTAAAAATGTACAGATTAATGAGGTAAACACTTCACCTTTTCTATGTCTGTAATTAAATGAAGACTGATAGAAATATTCAGCCTACTGTTATCTCCAGGCAAGTAACTCAGTGCTTTTCTCTTCAGTTCTCTAATGGTGAATTTCTCAAACTCTTCACTCGATGACGAAACTGATAATAATTTAATAGTGCTTCTATTAATCCTGATGCGGACCTGATACGCCATTCTGATCCTGACCGTAAACTCAGGTGAGCAAACCCGGAAATAAAACCTTCTGGTACTTTCGCTTTTACGAAACAAACGAGTAGGGGGTAACTGCAGCCTGGAGAAATGGGCGTGGTAAAAGGTAGGGGCGTGGCAAAAGGTTTTTCATTGGTCGAAAGTTTTTTCCGGTAGGGGCGTGGCAAAAGGTTTTTCATTGGTCAAAGGTTTTATTTCCGGTCAAATGCGTTGGCCAATTAGAATAACATATTACTTAAGCTGCTTGTTTAGCTTTAGGGTGGGTTATTCTACTATATGCTACTGGTGTTAAGAATAAAGAATGAATTAAATGTAATCACAAGTTTCATTAAAATAATTGGTAAATCAGCATTCTTAAGGATACAAATGCTTAAATATCATTAGACAAATGATATGTTTTGGTTCTTTTTACTGGCTTTTATAAATGCACTACTTAGAAAAGCATTTTATTCAATACTATTTTAAATTGTGACTTAGTTGTTTCCCAACTGTGTCACTGAAATGATTGCCTAAAATAATTTAAATTAAAAAGATTTTGAAAAATACATTTTATGTCGGGTAAATATATATTGTTCAAATATCACAGATTTATAACAAAGTTAACTCATTAATAAACTTATGTTAAGTGATATTAATCAGTTTAATTAGAACACAGACACAAGTTCATTAAACATTTCAGTTTAATTATCAAAAAACAAATAAAACAATCTCTTAAAATTCATGCCTTCCACTGACTAAAAATTCATACATCCGTCAGTTCACGACAATCCATTAAGTACAAATCTATCCATTCATCGAGTAGTAGCAGTGCATAGAGCAGAAGCCATTAAACTCTTGTCTGAATGCTCTGTACATCCCTTTTCCTCCCATTGCCACAGTATCCAATGGTGTTTTTGTAGAGCCAACCACAGGATTCACATCTGGAGAGCTTGAACTCTACTATATATTTGACCAAGTAACAGTGTGAGGAATGCACCATCCCCTTCATCATAAACATCTAAAAGAACCTTTCAGAACAGGTTTGATGGTAGCTGAATTAAAGACGAAATACACAAATATTAAATGACGAATGTAAAAATGAAAACTAAAAAAAAAAACTATAAATTGAAAAAATAAAATAAATTTAAACATACACCTCCTCTTGGATCCATAGCTGAAGGGAAATGCATGTATACATATTTTGTAAATATAAAATGAATAGTGTATGTACATACTTATACACACATATATTTGATAATTACAAACACAAGCTGATTGGCAGGTTTTAAGCATCTAAGAGCCTTTATGACACTTGTGCTATTTAAGTCCCATCATTTAGGATGACACTAAAGCACAACTATGATGGAATGTAATTCCATAACTGGGAAAGTATAATGTGTAAATTAATTAGGTTGTAAGTTTGATTAAATAAGTAGTAAATTTGATTGCACAGCAATTTCAGTGTCTTTAAACTCTAAGAATAAAAAACAAGCCTACAACTGCAGCAATCCACAATAAATGGTATTGTGCTGCCATCTAGTGGAAAAATTTAGTTTAAAAAGTGATTTCTGCTACATTGGTAGTTGTAAATTGAAAAGCAGTGTTTGATACATTTTAAATATCATAATGCTCACATACAGTTATATATATATATATTCAATTCAATTCAGCTTTATTTGTATAGCGCTTTTACAATGTAGATTGTGTCAAAGCAGCTTCACATAAATGGTCATAGTAACTGGAACAGTGTGGTTCAGTAACTGGAACAGTGTGGTTCAGTTTTTAGTGTTTAAGTTCAGTTCAGTTTAGCTCAGTTCAGTGTGATTTAATCATTACTGAGAGTTCAAACACTGAAGAGCAAATTCATCGATGCGTAGCTTTTCAGATCCTGAACCATGCAAGCCAGTGATGACAGCGGAGAGGGGAAAAAAACTTTACAGATAGAAGGGTGAAGAAAAAAAACCTTGAGAGAACCAGACTCAGTTCGGCATGACCATTTTAATTTCTCCGCTGGCCAAAAGTCTTGTGCAGAGCTGCAGTCTCAGCAGTGGGCTGGAAGATGGCCTCAATGAAGACTCGTCTGTCCCTGGAGCGTCGCTGGAATCAGACACATGTTCTCCACTCACCTATGACCATCAGCGCAGCAGCAGCTCAGGATATGGCCTGGTCCCGGATATGGACACCTTGGGATCATCACGTCGCTGGTCTTGGATCCAATCAGTGACTCCGCATAATCTGAGGACCTCGGGATGAGTATCCCCAGGTGAAAATAGAGAATAAAGAGAATAATTAGCGTAGCTGCTGTTCATAGTGTATATAAGCAAGATGCAGAAGCCTGTGTGGAACCCGCTAGGTGATGCACTGAGTGTATGCTTTACTAAACAGATAGGTCTTTAATCTAGTGTTGAACTGGGAGAGTGTGTCTGAGCCTCGGACATTATCAGGAAGGCTATTCCAGAGTTTAGGAGCCATAAAGGAGATGGCTTGACCTCCTTTACTTGACTTTGCTATTCTAGGTACTACCAGAAGCCCTGAATTTTGAGATCTTAAAGAGCGAGTTGGTTCGTAGCGAGACAGAAGGTTGGTTAGATAAACAGGAGCTAGATTATTTAGAGCTTTATAGGTGAGAAGTAATATTTCAAATTCAATACGAAACTTAACAGGCAGCCAGTGTAAGGAGGATAAAATTGGGGTTATATGATCATATTTTCTAGACCTGGTCAGAACTCTGGCTGCTGCATTTTGTACTAATTATTACTAAACGTTAATCTGGCATATGCAGTAGAATATTTAGAAGGCTATAAATGTTACCTCGGATTCTGTAAGGCCGATCTCTAGTCATGTGTCAGTACTTTAAATCTGGAATGCATAAACTATATCATAACTACACCTACATCTACGAGTCTATCAGGAGACAACAGCGACAGAATACATTTTTTATTTCTTCTTTACAAGAATTTAAATCGTCAAATATCAGGACTACATTAAAGTTCTTCCATGAACCTGTTTTTTTAATCCCAGCATTTAAAACATCCTTTACAGCACTGCTCGACGCTGATCTCTCGCTGATTTCAGCGTCTGTGCGTTCACGGTCGCGTATATTAGCGACAAGCACGTTACCGAGTGAAATTTTTACTGAACAGCACCCCCTGGTCACAGTTTTCGACGGGTCAGCAGCCTGCAGATCGGGGATAAAGGGCGGGATTAAATCTGGGGCGGGGCTGCACATTCAGCCACGTCCACTAGTAATATCATTGGTTAGTGCAAATGCGTCAATGCCCACTACGTGGTGTCAGTAAACAGGAATTCATTTACAACTTTTTAAATACGGTTTTTATTGTTAATAAACACAAAAATACACAAAAGTGGACATTCTTGCTAAGTGTTTTATATGTTAATTATTTTAACAGTTATTTGAATTTAATAATGGTATTTGTTCTGCTAAAAAATATTACAAAAGACTCAAAAGAGCCAAAAGACTCTTTAATAATAATAATAATTAATAATTCCTTACATTTATATAGCGCTTTTCTGGGCACTCAAAGTGCTTTACACACAATGGGGGGATCTCCTCATCCACCAGCAGTGTGTAGCATCCACCTGGATGATGCGACGGCAGCCATTTTGCGCCTGACCGCACACCACACACCAGCTGATTGGTGGAGAGGAGACAGAGTGATTAAGCCCATTATGATATGGGGATGGTTAGGAGACCATGATAGACAGAGGCCAGTGGGCAGATTTGGCCAGGATGCCGGGGTTAAACCCCTACTCTATTCAAAGGACATCCTGGGATTTTTAACGACCACAGAGAGTCGGGACCTCGGTTTAATGTCTCATCTGAAAGACAGACTCTTTACAATGGTGTTCACTTCTCTTTCAGAAATGCAGTGACTTTAGTTCTGATATTTTAATGGTTTATCATTTTGCTTCAAAATGAAAATGCATATTGCATATTTACAACAAATAAAAGTGAAGTCTGAAAAAAAAGAAAATAAATAAAAATGCAGTGTTTTTAGTTCAGTTTAATTTTTTCCTTTGAATGGGAGAGTTCTCTGGAAAATGTACAACTGAAAATTTTAACATTACACTTTGATTTAAGGCTTTTAAAAATATTGGGCATGTGTCCAAATGTTTCTCTTTCAATACTGCACTGCTTTAAGTTGGAAAATGATTTATTTATTAAGAGCAGGGATACGCTGTTATTTATTAAGGGAAGTATATGTTTGTAACCTTTTTGCTTGTTAAATGAGATTATTTCATCATATAATGGATTCATTTTTACTTTGATGCTGTTATTAATATAAATGTATATTATCTGTTATATGTAAATGTTCCAGCACAAGTAAAATTCTTTATTCATTTTTTTTAAATATTACCTGGTATGTAATCTATGAATGCAATCAATTTCATCGTTTATTATTTACAGATCCTTTTGTTCATTTTCTCCATTTGAATAAAGACAGTGCTCTGCTGACACCTACTGGGTAGTTTTGATATCTGTTCTACATTTTAATTAATAAGTTACAAATAATTTCATAATCTAATATTACTAAATTAAAACGCACTCTTCTTGGTTTTATTTTTGTAATATTTGTAAATACATTGTAAATACTTTAATACCACTTTCTAACAACCCTTCTGGATCCATTTCTGCACTGTAGATCTTTAAAAATATTTTGTTAAATGATTTTGTTTGTTAAGAGTCACATACAACATTGTTATTCTATTTAATTTAATTAGAATATTAAATACACCTAATATTATATTAATAGGGTGGTACAAACGGCCAGTTTTATTTATTACTTATATCAGGACACAAATTAATGAAAATAAATTTGACATTAAAAAGAGCAGCACTCGTGTAAACTTTTGAAATCTTTATTTGACAAATGCTGACAACTACATATCAAGTTCATCTTCAGTAAAAACACCAACACAAAGCAATACATTCAGCTAAAAGACCCTCTTTCTCGGTTCAAGTAAAAATCTGGCAGATCTGTGTTTTTTTAGATGTCAGATGTCTCACCTACAGAACATCTGCGTATGCACATGCACACATGTGCAAAAGGAAGACTGACAATTTATAGAAAATAATAATAATAATTTAAGATACAGCAGTTTGTGATTATTATCACCTTTAATAAACCTTTAAACAAAATAATAAATAAACAAAAACAATTATATATATATTTTACAGGGAAATTCCCCTCCAGCATTGAAGTAACAACCTGCTGAGCAATATATTGGGAAGTCAATTGATGAACAGAATGCTTGCAGGACCCCCCTCTCACCATACCCAACAGACAAATCACTTTGTCGAAGTATATGGCACTCTGATTGATGACACCTAAAAAAATCAAGTACATATTTAAGCAAAACACAACCATAATTCAAAGTTTTAAAACTAATGGAGTACTGTAAAAAGCACTTGGCATATTCTTTATTCTTTATCATGTGTACACACACACACACACACACACACACACACACACAAACAAACAAACAAACAAAAGTTACTTTATGATGAATATAAACAAATATGGAATGTGCCAAACACATTTCCCCAGTAGTCACTATTTAAAAATAAATAAAAATAAATACCTTACTGTCCAGCCAGATGTAATGAGCCTGTTTTTTGAATTTTGGATCACTGACAATGGCTCAGCAGGTCTGGATGTCAGAGAGAGTTGCAGGAATGTCCCATTACCATCATGTCTGACAACTTTCAAGAGGATACACTGCAGGATCTCAGGTGGCATCTGTACAAAATAACCAACAATCATCAACATGTCGTTTAACATACAGTATATTACAGTTAAACTCAAAGAGTTAAATATGTTTGTACTATAGGCATGCCCCCTCCTCACATTCCCCTTTGCATAACAGTTTCATGCATGGGTTATAAAGTAAACAAAAAAAAAGAGAAAATGACGTGTAAATAAATATATAAAAAAAAAATTAAAGCAAAAATCTATTAAAACAAAAAGAGGGAAAGAACTGAGGTAAAATAAAATAAAACAGAGAATATGCTCCACAAGAATCATAGTGATGGATATATATATATCAATGCCAATGATCTGCAAACAGTTTTATATTGTACATATTAGCATTAACATTATCAGAGTATGTAAATTAGAGAACATGCCACAAAGAAAAATATATTTCGTTATCTTTGATATCAATAAACTTCATGTGATGGACTGTGTTGCTCAAAACTCTTTAAAGTTTACATTATTCTATGTGAATGAGACCATCAACTGTACGATCAACCTGGAAAATGCCAACTCTAACACAGAAAACATTTTTTTAAAAGGCTTTAAAATTTCTTATCTCCTAAAAGGCCTTTAATTAAATAAATTACACATAGTACGTACCTTGTAGGGTGTACTGCACTATTATCTAACCAGTTACATGACAAAGTGTACTCAACATGCAGAGATGAAATCCGGAATCGAAAGCATACATTACATCAACGTCATTATTTCCGTGAACCAATGAAAGACATGTAGGTGGAGCGACACTTTCAGCCCCGCTCACTTGTGGGCGGGGCTGCACATTCAGTCCCGCCCCATATTCTTCCTCGCCCCGATCTGCGGGCTGCAGACGGGTGTACTTGTGTGTGGCAGATTTCGGCACAACACTGGGACTGACACTCGCCCAAAAGCATATCCAAAATAGGAAAATACAACTTTTGGGCCCATTTCTTAGGCGTGCTTTGTGTGCTTACTGTTTGATATTCTCTTTGTCCAAAGGAACTTGTGACAATACAGGAATCCAATGTAGTGATTCTTTTCACCGCTCGCTTGCGTTTGATCGTCTTCATCTCCACAGTGTAATGTCAGAACACTTCAACCTCAATCTATAATTCTTCCCATTTTTCAGTTGTCCTCATACTCTCCAGACCCTTTATTGTAGATTCCATGAAACTTGTAGCCTGAGTTTTTTGTAGTGCCTTCTGCGCAACATGGATCATGCTGAAAACATGGTAAAACACCACAAGACACATGGAGAATGTGGCTTTCTTGCGATAGATTAATAAACCAGATGCCTCAACAAACCTACGATAAGGCGGCACAGAGAGCTCAGAAAGAGTGGAGAGCAGGGCTTTTATTGAAATCTTTGCAAAAATGCATACAGCTTCTCAAGGATTTGAAAAAACATAGATGCTGTGCGATTTACCTTGCAGGAATCCACCAAAACCAAATTTAGCTTGTGAGCCAAGGCAAGCAGAATATCGCATCCGCATCTTTGCTGTATTCAATGAATGCATATGCCTTGTAGTAATCCGACGAAAACGAGCCATTCTGCTTACCAAACTGTTTTCGGATATTCTTGTAAGTAAGATTTTGATGGTCCAGAGTCCTTTGTGCCTAAATCTCCAGGTGGTGTTGTTTTACTCGTAAGGCACTCCAACCGAACTTCCCGTTCGTAAGGCCTATCGCTGCCAGACCTATACCGGCTGCAGTTTCCAATAAAGAGCTCGGCTCTTAGTACTATACACTTGTACTGGAGTTAAAGAGCCCATATTATGGGTTTTTGAAAATTCCCCTCCATGTAGTGTGTAACACAGCTCTAAGTGAAGTGAAGTATCCAGCTAAGGGTTAAATCTGTTAGTGTACAGTGTTAAAAACGGTTGATTCATCTATAAAAGAGTTGACTCATAGTGCTTCAAACGAGTCGCCTTGATACCGATTCATTAGGTGTTTCGCCATGACGTACGAACGAAACCAAGTTATTCACGTGCACGCGCAAACCCGGGAGATTTCAAACCTGAGGCCCCGCCCTCTGACGCAGAAACCCAGACACACACACACACACACACACAAATATGCCGGTCGATTGAAGTCACACTGCAGATGGATATATTGAGTCTCTACCCAAAGATGAAACCTCAGCATTATAGCCAAGCAGTTGGAAACTTCTGGAAACTTCTGGAAGCTACATGCTACAAAGAATACTTCATCTGCGTTTGTTAAAGGAAGGATCAGTAAAGAGTAACTGATGGACGTCAGGATGGGTTTCTTCCTCCATTTCTCAAGTGTAAGTACGTGCGATTAAAGTTGCCTCGTTGACTCGAGCTTGCAAATGTGTTTAGTTGTGATTTGTTACTTGTAACCGCGTGTACTGTATCAGGTTAACTGGCTATATTCTCTCATCGCGTGCAAAGTCACGTTAAAAACGCGACGCGTGCTGTTTGTTAACGGAGCTCCGTGGACGAGGAGTAGTGTGTGTGTCTCTGTGTGTGCGTGTGCGCGAGCTGTCGTCCGGAGGTGTGTGTTTTTGTGTGTGTGTGTGTGTGTGTGTGTGTGTGTGTGTGTGTGTGTGTGTGTGTGTGTGCGCGCGCGTTGTCGAGCAGGGTTAAGTGCGTGTGTGTGTGCAATATGTGTGTGTGTGTCTGTGAAAAGAGCAGAGTGAGAAGCTAGGAGATCTCCTCAACTGTTTTTGGAGTTTTTGCTCAATAAAATAGTTAATCGTCTGAATTTTCAAGTCCATAGTCTGTATTTACATTGACCCACTGGCAGCTAAAATCCACGCCTACACTATCGAGCGTGTATGAACTGTGATTACTTTTATATTGCTGATTAGCTGTTTGGCATTTCACTCTCTGACTGAAGGCAGTCGACCAATCGCGACAGACTGTCATCGGTCCAATCAGCGCAGATTAGCTTCGCGCTAAGGAGGGGTTTGGGAACAAATGAATCACTGAACGATTCATACAGGAGTCGCTGGGATAATGAGGTAAAAATAAATGCAGATTATAAGACAATGAAAGTTTTTTTTCCATGCATGCATATTAAACTGTTGTTGGAGACCCTTACAACCAAGATATGACCCTATTTCATGTATAATATGGGCTCTTTAAGGTCTTTGCTGCTTGAATTTTTCTTTTTGAAAAAAGATTATA